CTCCGTTAGAAAGGAACTAGTCATCATCTCATTGTTTATTTATTTAAGTTTTTTACTGACATGCTAAAATGTGGAACTCTATCAACATACTCATAAATTATTTTTAATAATAAACTACCCTTGGAGCTTTGGTTTATACCTATGTGGTGTTTGTGTTGTGTCCTATACATTTAAACCTATGAAAAAATAATAATTCGTAGGTGGCGCCAAATCCAGGAAAAGGGGTGGTTTAATTATTGTGGATGTAATCTGCAAATTAGTATTTTTTTTGTTAAAGGAGATATTTTGAAGGGGCCAAAAATTAAAATAAAAATAAAAATTGGATTGGGGTGGTGCCGGTGGTGGACATTGAGACTTACAAGTGCGTAACGGTATACCTTCTATATACAAATATATTATTAAAAGTTAATTATCGTCAATACCAAATAATACACTTTATTTTTGCTCCAAAGTACAAATTGAATACTCTCTGCCCTCTGGTGAAGATTCCACAGGTCAGGCGAATAGCGAGGTTTTCTCTAACCGAAACACCGATTTTTCTTTCCAATGTAAAATTCTTCAAACTACTCAAATAAAGACATACTCTTATCTGAGTCATCTCGGTAGTTCATTGACCAACTCCTCTGCAACATCCTTATTCAAAATCACAAAATGGAATGCTAAAGCAATGTTTGGGGAAAATACAAAAATTTAAATTACTAAAATGTATAAGTCAATAATTTTTTTAAAAACAATTTTGGCTTAAATGAAATTAACGACTGAAAATATTTACATCTTTAAATTTGAAAGTTCCATCCATATATATTTATGCCTTATAATTAGGGCTCGGACTTGATGGCAATATAAACAATAAAAAAAGAACTCAAGATGTAAAAATAGGCAAAAAAATGCATTTGTAGAAAAACGACTAAACGAACATATTTTAATCTATAGATAGGTACCTACCTTCATAACATTAAAACTCATAACTTAAAAACGTTAAATTAACTTGCCATACCAAACACTCGATTAAGTTTTTGGTGATATTAAATATCAGCAATAATAAAATCCTTAAAAAATTATTTTAATTATAACATCGATAATGCGTCGCCTTCAGGAGCTCTTATCGATTTGTACCGTTAATATGTATATAACACAATTAAATGAAAAAAGAGAAAAAGAAAAAAGGCAAACAAAATATTCATCCATTATCTTAGAAATTAAATGAAACATATTTTGATATAAAATTTATTTTTCTATTATTATTATAAAAAAAAGGCATTTGCCTTCAACTATACGAGCCCTACTTATAAGTATTTTATAACTGGATTTAATAATTTATTAGCACTGATTCGTCATTTTGTCCCAACGTCTACGATGAATCGGCAGCGCCGAAACATCCCTTCCCTTCATTGTTTTATTAATATTTAGTGCATTGCTATAACAGTATAAGTTATAAATATTAATACATTTATTCATATAATAGTATAGTAATTGTGGCATTATTATGGTTCTGACATTTTTGATGATGTGATTTTAATTTATAACATCGATAAGATCATTTGACATTCGGTTGGATGTTGTTTTATATAATATACAAGCATGCACTGGGAGTATGAGGCCAACCAAATTTGGGACTCTCGTCACCTGTACAATAAAAAGTACATATTTTGAGGAGCTTAGGGAGCCAAGCCCTATCTAAATGTTATTGACACTCACCAAAATATATGTAATATTTAAATGACAAGATTAAATCTTATGCTAAAATTATTTAGAAGATTTAGTCGTATCAAGATTATTCTCTAAATTGCTGTTAAGTTGGGGAAAAATGCATAGGGGATAAATTATTTAAAAAAATGTCAGATAACAACATTTATAATTTTTATAATAATTAAATAATTTTAAGTTGGAATTTAGAGAGTATAGTAAAGTAGATTATTTTATCACACCAAAATCCAATAAAAAAAATATATTATATGATATTAATTAATTTACTTTTAAACTTTTGACTAAATTTAAGAATCATCATTTATCATACAGTTACAATGAAACTATTGGAAATCCAAAATACCAAGTTATACTATATTTCAATAACGAACCTAACTCTTTCAAGATAACGGGCGACGGGTGTATATAAAGGTATACGTTTTGTTATTTGTTATGCTACAGAAAAATTCTACAAATACGAATCCTGCAGTGACCTCTAGTTTATTAAATTTCAAGCTATTTAAAATAAAAAAATTAAATATAAGATAGAACATACATAAATATATTCTAAATATATATAGAATATAGATTAAAGACGTAATCAGACATGATATCCAATTTTGTGAGTGGTTTTGAATTACTTTTTTTATTTGTTATTATGCATATTATTGTACACAAAATTTGTACCAGTAGGCACAATAAGAATATGAGCTATATGAAAAAAGAAAACATGAATGATTTGATTGAAGAAGCCACCCATTGATGACACTTTCGTCTCTTATTTATTTTAAACTCTGTTTAAACTCTGTTCCACGAGAGATCATGCCGCTCATCGACCAAAACTGTTTCCTCCACGCCAAACCCTGTCATGGGGGAACCCCAGTTTCGACAGCAGGATGACGTAGGGGGATGCGCAGAACCGGCATGTTCTCTCGTGGAACAGAGTATAGTTTGGTTGTACAAACGAAATTAGAGCAGTCGAAAATAATTTTAATTTTAAAAATATTTATTAAAGTGACAATCCAATTTTCATAATTATTAATGCAGAAAATTACGAAAAAATAACAGCAGGCGTCGCTTTTGCGGCCGTCATGGTCAGGCATTGCATACAGCCATGATGTCTTCACGTCCCGAGCAAACGCATCCGCTGGCCGTGAGTCTCGTCCTCCGGCAGGATCAGTGGCGTAGCCATGATTCCTGAAAGTGGGGGGGAGATAAAAAAAAAACGACATAGGAGAACATAGGGGAAAATTTTTGCATCCCCACCCTTTCAAAACTTTTTACTAATGTAATAAAAAGCCAATGGGGGGATCTGACCCCTTAGTCCCCCCTTGTCTACTCCACCGACCGGTCGTGAGAACGTTGCGTAGAGGTAAACAGTGACCATAGACTTACTAACATCATCTGCACCACCAACTCGACATGGGCGGAACCATTTTCGGCCAAAATGAACCTTTCCTATTCGGCCAGTTCACTTTTCGGCCATTCTGGAATATCCGTTTTCGGCCAGTACACTATTTTGGTCACCAATTAAAAATATTTTCTTTTTATTAAACTATACCAATTTATATAATATTATTAAGTATATTAAATTATTAAAAATATAGTCACAATTATCATAAATACAATTTACAATACATAATTTACAATTTACATTACATTATCAATTTACATAAAAAAAATAATTGTATAGGGATATTTAAATTTTTTTATAATTATAGCACATGCGTTTTATGAATTCCATTCGTGTTATCTCTCCTCTATCATATTTCGTTATGTTTATATGGTTTTTATCCTGACGATTCCGAATTTTCTATCTTTTGGGAATTTTGGAATATCAGCACTTCGTATTTTTACATATGATTCTGTTTGAACTTCATTTATTATATTCAACCAATACATAATTGGAGGGGAGTCTTTTTAAAAACATTGGTTAACATATGAATGGTAAGATTCGCATGCATTTGTTGTTCTAGTTAAATCAGAAGAGCCTGATGCCTGATGACGTTTTCCTATAGCTTTTTGTTCTTTTTTTTGTAAATTGATAATATTATAATGTATCTGTATTATATGATAGCTAAATAGAAAAAAAAATATTTTTAATTGGTGACCAAAATAGTGTACTGGCCGAAAACGGACATTCCAGAATGACCGAAAAGTGTCCCGCCCCTCGACATCACGTACCCTCTTTTGTTTATTGGTTGTCATAGGTGTCGGATAGTGCATTGTAAACCGGGCCGCGGGGAATATTATCTAATAAATTGTTGAAAATACACTACAATAATTTCTAGTTAAATTGGCTATAACTCTGTTGAAATGTCAAAATGATTTGAAAAATACACCATGCACTGCTTCTACGTAAAATGTCCAATCAGATTATTGCATTTTCAAACTTCATTATATTACTACAAATTTGCTAGTTTTTCTCAAGAAATTTATTTCGTAAATCGTGTTGGTTGCTGTAATATAATATGGTGTGTGTTTACTGTTTTGCCTATATGTGTATTTTAAGGAGCTAGTTTCTTTTTATTTTAAGGCACTCTTATAAAAATAAGTAAATAGACTACATTCTATAGGTACACTGGTATATTATATAGGGTTATCTTTTTATACTTAGCGAGATACTTTGGATTGAAAAAATATAATATTGATTTGTATAGTTTTAATATAGTAAGTTGTATTACATTCATTTTGATTTTATTCATAATAATATATTAATATGATCTATGAAGTACATACATATGTAAAATAAAAACAACATATATGATGAATTATAAGCACGACTCGAGTCACATACACTAAATTTTATCTTATAAAATAACATTTTTATAGGTACCAACCATTTTATTGTAAATACATCAAATATATATATTATGATACATTCGGGTAAATTGACTTTGATTACATATTACATTAATTATAATAATATTCAATATTATTGACATATAAAAAAAAAATGCTTAGTATTAAATATAACAACAAACAATACCAATGTTTCATATATTTATATATTTTATTATTTTATAAATATTAGACTTTTAATAACATGGCGAATTGGTTATTTTTAAAAGAAATCATAATCTAGAGACAATTTAACTTCCAACGAAATAGTTTATTGGCACGTATAATATTTAAAGCTTAATTTATTACAACAAAGATAAAACAAAATATAGTATATAATATAGTCACATTACAGTTTATTACAGACCTTTTGTAGTTGGATGTGAGTGGTTATCCGACAGGGACGAGTCGAAATAAAAGGTAACTCCCATTAATACTCATATTATAATAGTTGTCGATTCGCTTTTCAAATATCATCCTAGTCGAACAAAATTATCTGGTGTCCTGGAGTAACTGAAACAATAGAAACATTTCAAATATATTTTAATTCACATTCTCGTGTTCTCAAAACATTATCCACGCCAATAGACTGTAGCCTATAATATGTTATGATTATTTATTTATTTATTAGAATAAACGCAATGTGGCTATTGAGAACAATAGGTACTAGCAATGAAAATTAACAGATTATGTTACGGTGACCGTGTGGGGTAACATATTATAATATTATGTTTTTGTACTGCACCAAAGTAGGTATAATACTATACTATATTTATTTTTACTAAGCAGTATATACATTTATATGTATAGCATGTTTATCGGAAATGTATTTTTTAACGAGAGTTATAAATATTGTAGTAAAATTAAGGATAATAATATTATATTTGCGAATTAAACCTAATATTTTACTACAAATCTAAAAAAAAAGACTTCTAAATAATTTACGTCACGTTTAATACCAATATTAAATATTTATATCGCATTTTATGTTCACGCATTTCTCTAGCTCCATACCATTAAACAATCATAATATTTTAAAAATTACAAGTATGCATTTTAAACTATTTATATGTAAATATATATTGATTTCATAAGCTATAGTCCGATGAAATATGTAGCTTTTTATATTAAAGTGGTTTTTATATACGTATTAGTGTATTACGCAGGTATGACGAAATTATTAGCACAACTTGTGTTCATATAATTTACCTAGATGGGGTGTTTAAACATTATAAATTTAAAGATGTGATGCATTGTGCACATAAATATAGTAAAACAATTTGTATTTACCAAGAGGTTACGTTTTCCCTGATGTCACAAGCGCCAATGAGTTCATTGAATCCTAGTCCAGTTCCACAATTGTATAGCCGAGGCCTACCGCTAACGCAAAGGTAAAACTTTTGACAATCCACTGAGTTAGGATGGAGTTTGTGGCCTTCCAGCGGGTTTTCTTCGGGTGGGCATCTAAATCCAAGGAATGCTGTAAATTATCGCACAGAAATTAACTAATGATTAGTTTTTACATATTTTTGGATAAATAGACATTATAATATTTAAATATTATACAGGTAGTGTTGTTGTGCAAACAAATATAATTTCAATTTTAAATTATATATATATATATTTACGACGATTATATAGATTTGGCTGAACACGAAATAGTTTCATAACATATCGTGATTTTTGTTATGTAATTTCTATTTCAAATATAACATTGTGTATGGGATTTATAATGGTTTTTTTTTCTAAAAAAACGAATACGGTGGGATGAACTAATACCTAAATGGCTATATATTCAACACCAACTGTATAATATAATACTGTAATAAAATTAATCTAAATGTGTCTTACTATAATAGTATAATAATGATATATTGAAGTATTTCCATAAAACTGTTAAATTTTAATGCAGACTAATATTATACTATTATAATATATCTATTCGTCCCGTAAATGATATTTAAAAAACAGATAATCGGAACTAGAAATTTATTGTCAATTCGAATGTTTAATGTTTGTTCACTTCATGCGCTCGATGTGCATTCAGTTCAAAATATATTCAATACTTAATTAGATTTATGAAAACTAATAACACTCGCCGAGTGTAAATTCATGATGATGAATTGGATTTATAAATGTGATTCTCATTGTATCTACATAATACCAATCAAATTGTACATTGTTTGTTTGTTAATCATATTATCAACACTTATATATATATATATTATATACATGGGAACCTATCATAACATTATTATGTGAGTGTAGGTGTCTGTAATATTCACTATATATACTTATTTATTACGAGAGATTTACTTTTTAATTTAATTTTAGTTTTTTTACATATTATAATATTAAGGTTAACACAACGTACAACATTATAATTTATATAATTTACCTTCTGCGTCGCACGTGTCCACCTGATCTGGCCAGTCACACCTAAACGTCAACTCGTTGAACGCCAATCCTTCGGGACAATCAAATTTGTATCCTATGCCGTTTACGCAGTTTAGAAACTGACCACATTTTGTCTCGTCACCCAGCCGAAAGTAACCGAACTGTCTCGGACAGTCGCTGGAGGATTGGGGGGGTTCTGAAAAATGTTTAGGTTTAAGACATTTGTTATCGGTGAATTATAATAATAGGCATAGGTAAAGAAAATAATTAAAACATTTTTTTTTTAGATTAAGTTGGCATGTTGCTCATTTTTATTAAGTTTGAAACAGCTACCTACTTTAAAACCATGATGCATAATCTACAAGAACATTGTATTTGGGAACTATATAGTATATTATTGTACAAGTTATTGATTTATATGAAACTCACGCAATTGGGTTCTTCCCTCGCAGTCTACTTCTGGTGGATATTGGCACGGGTAGGAGAATATCGATGACTTTGAGTTGAAGAACAGTCCATCGGGACATAATTTTTCTGTGGGTACGCCATTCTCGCATTGTAAATATCTGATACAATATACATTTTATTTACAACGAAATTATTTACATTTTTGTACATTTCAACTAAATTCTCAGATAATGTGTGTGAATTGTGTTGTATAAAATAATAACAATAAATTAATTTAAACTTCAGTATAGTATATTATACTATAATATAATATTATGTATACTAATAGGATTTTTCACCATTTCTTTCTTATAAATGTAAAATTGATTCTTGTCCATTATTTACTATTATAATTATTTTATCAAATATTATATACAGTGATTTTTTTGAAAAAAAAACATAAACACTAATTTTCTCAAAAATTTTTTATTATTATATTTTTATAAGTTCTATACTTTTTAGAATATAAAAATATTTTTGTAGATAATTTCAATATTTATATCTATTTATCCATCTATAGATATATAAATTAATGTATAGGTTCGTAAATATTTATTATACCAATCGAATTTTAAACGAATTAACAAGTAATAACAATGTAGATGAGCGGAGTAAAGTGGCACAGTATATATAAGTGGCAAAATATTGATCCACTACTTTGCTCATATTATAACAATTGCGTAAATACTTATAACTAATTAATTCCTAGGGGTTGAAATATCTAAATTCTCAGAATAATATTCCTCTTAGGAATATGAAATAAAAAATATGTACCATTATTAAAAACAATAAAGAAACTCAAACATTTTTAACGATTAAATATGGTAAAATATAAAATTAATAAAAAAAAATATTTTCTTTTGTTATGAATACAAAATTATCTAAAAACTATTAAGTTCTTAAATACAATTAATTAGGAACCAAATAAAAATGGGTACCTGTCTACCTACAAGAGAAATCAACACTTTATCATCAATTATTACCTATAGTATATCAATATGCACTCCCGTATATCTTACGAAAATAAAAAATAAGTATAGGTACTATACTTGAGTATAAATTGTATAAAAAATAAAAACATAATACAATTTATTTTTATTTTTATTATTATACTTTATTCTACAATAACAGCTGTCTCTTTTATTATTTCATATTATATACAGAACGAGCTATTTTCTGCGGTCAAATAATAAGCTGACAACAACTAACACAGGTTTTGGATTCACATTGGCGTTATCTCTGTACAATACTATGCAGACGTACCCATGTTACATTTTAATATTATGTATGTTTTCCCCAACACGATAATATGTTATAACTTAAAATGACATACGTCCAAACTCACTTGTCGCACTGGTTGCCCAACGGGTACCGTCCGTTTCTTTCTGGACAAACGCCACTACCTGAACACGTCAAAAATTAGACAAAAATTTGTCCGACTATAAATTTCATGCAGTGTGTCGCCTACGTACTTGTGGCCACATCGCGGTCGTATCCGCCGCTGTCCAAATACTGTCGCTGCCTCCTGACCGTCCTGCGCGTGACACCACCTGCAAATGATATATTATAACAAATTTATGCGATCCTGCGATAATGTCCATCCATATAATAAATTGTATAGGTACAGTATGAGTATAGACTAGAGATGGATCAACCAGAACAAACATTTTCATATTCTTCTTTGACTGCGCTGCGACCGTTTCGTTTGCGCTTTTATGCGGGGCCTCCTCCTCACAAATATTATGTAAGACCCCCAAATTGCGGAGCCCCCTTAATACACATGACTGACTGCATCGATCTTAAGTTTACAGCTAAATATAATAATGCAGGTATACCCGAATCGAGAATGTAATGTCTATATGAAAACATACGTAAGTGAACTATTTGTGCATTAAGTAATCGCATATTAACTATAAGTCCATACAAATAATGATTTAAAACAATTTGTTAATAAATAGATATCAATTTTGGTAGTTAATCAAAAAATGTTATCTTGCAACTTTTCCTTCCTGTGCAATAAAATGTGTGTTGTTCGATAAGTCTTAAAACCACAATATCTAATAAAAAAAATACTGATCTCATTCAGATCTAAAATACACGGTTGGTAGGTACTTATATCACACGATTAAAATAATGATATAAAAAAATAATATTCGTCTGTTCAATAGGTAAAAATTAAATTGTATTAAATGTTACATGTTTTTCAAAATATTTGCCGTATTTATTTCGAAACATTCTATACATAATTTTGGTAATTAAAGAATACAATATAAAATTGCATAGATTCTGACTACTGTGTTACTACTTAATAAAAAATTTAGTTTTACATATTATATTACATTTTATAATTCTGTTTCGTATATAAGATTTATACTAGTTATCCAATATTCTACTTGACCAAATACTCTTTTAATACCGAAAAAAACACTTGTAGAATACTAACACGAAACGATATAGGAAAATCAATGTAACGTTAAACTCCTTACATTATCGAAGAAGATAAAAATGAAACATCACAAGATCGTTTTTACATAGCCCATGCCTCCACATTAGGGACGGGACAAAAACCATATTGGTAAATAGATTACTATGATACGATGTGCACCGTATATGGCGTATACCGACGAGATAGTAATAATAATAATGCTATAACGTCTGTCCAAATACCTAAGCCGGGAAAAATTTGTATCCGGCCATAGACGTTATTATTCGTATCGCAGTCGTCGGAGTACCTATTACGATAATAATACCTGCTATTATATTTATACCGTGTTTAAACGCATGTCGCTATTATATTAATTATTACACAACAGGTGGCGATTTATGGTTTTTTCTTCTCGTGAATACGCGACGACCACGCGCCGACCACCCGGAGACTTGAACGTTTTGAATAATATTATGATATAGTTATTGTACCTACGTTGTTTATAAACTGTTTAGAACTATTATTAGGTATAAGCGAGCATCATTCTAATATTCGTACTCAGTTTCCGGCGGACTCACAGTCCGCAGTTGTTTATCATAATATTCTGTCGTTCGTATAACAATAAAATTCGATTTCAGTGTACTCTGGTATATTATGGTATATTATAAAATCAGGTATAAGGTATGGAGGAAATAATGTATATTATAATGAAAACGGCGAGCGTTGTAATGCCAAAGTTTTTTTATAGCTCTTGACGATAACCTTTTACGTTGAATTAATAATCGCCTTGTCACTTCTCGCTTGTCACGATGACATTTGAAACTAAAACATTATACTTATTTTAATATTACCCATGTTTTGTTTTTAAAATGTAAACTATTACATTTGAACTTTTAACCTTGGTTTTATGGTAGAATTATGCGGTCAACGTACAAACTTTATATTTTTACCTTCGACGATCATTTTTCACACATTTTTGTGGTATATATATAGGTAGGTACGGAATAAGCAATCTTAAGAACGCCTGAAGCGTATAGCTCTATTTATTTTTTTTGAACGAGGTTTAATAATAATTATCGTTGTTATATTTGTATGATTAACTTTTAGTACCTGATATAAGGTAGTGGCTTTGTATTTTGTAAAGTTTTAATTAATTGTACAACATTTTACTGACTTAATTAGGTAGTATTATCTTAGATTTGACAAAAACAAGTTTACAATTATAATCGTGTATGAATTATCCATAACTACAGGAATAATTTACATGGGTAGCGTAGGCAAACGAAGAGGTGAAAAGTAAAAATTTGTTAAAAGCCAATACGGTTCGACTGTAACTGAAACGTTGTTTATTTCCACACAATCAAAAAGATTAACGATTGACCTGTGGTCGCAGGCACTTGACATGTCATCATTATTATATAATGTTTTCAATAAAAAATTGACTGCAAACCGTAGTTATATGTACCTATCAATAACTATAAACATTCTGGAGTAATATTTTTTTTGTTACAAGCGCGTGGTATCATAAAATATCAAAGTCCGTTACTACCGTAATACATTATCGATATCAAGTGCAGGCAAATGGCAAAGGGCTAACTTTGAAGTGGATCAAAACAAGTGATGGCAGATATTACATTTATTAGATTCAAAAATACTATGATTGATATTGCTCTTAAATAAATATATAATTTATAAGAATATATATTTTTTTTTATACTATAAGTATATGACCAGATATTTACTTTTTTATACATGCAACCATATACATCATATGTTATACAAACAAAAACAATACTCGACTTTTGTGAGCGAAAACGAAATTCATGTGTAGGTAAGTGACTTGCGGTCAGGGCAAGCGAGGTAATCGCCATATGCCCGCTTAAAAAGGAAGAAAAAGAATAATGTATTTAATACATAATATCAGTTGGCAATATGTCACTTTGTAATAATGGTTTATATTATAGATATAATAATATACCTGCTCAATGGAGTTGTATAGTTATAAGTTATTCTTGAGTAATATGTAACAGTATTGTAATGTATTAAAAGTTAGAAAAAAAATTATTATTTTGTTATTTTGCCATTTAGTTGTATAATATATTGAAAGAAGTGCTCGGGATTTCAATTACTCGGTTCGTATCATTACACAGTTGGCAGGGAAGGGTACAGTAGGCCGTAGGGCGAGATGACCACGGTTTTATGCAGCAGTTGGAAGCGCTGCATTGAGTGATTATGAATACTTTTGGAAACGTATTTTTGGATACCAAATTTTTTTGTTAAGCACAAATGCGTAATATAAAAGTGTTACATTAATCAATTATAAAAGGTGGGTAGATGGTATAGGTACACTTAAAATTTCAATTTAAAACTATAGTTTACTGTTTACATTAATAACAAATTTTTTTTCGACGCTTATATCAAGCTTCAAATATCACCGCACTCTACTGACAGAGCCACCCTATTATCATAGTGTAATAACTTAAAAATACAATAAATATAAATACTATAGTAGATAAAAAAATGAAGCAAAAAACACTGCTAGAGTATCAAACAATATGAGTGCAAAATTTTATGCCAATAGGTTCAGTAGTTTCCAAGTTGGTAAGCTCCATACGATCGTACATATTTATTTTTTATACGTAGATTTTATAGTTTTTCTATTAATTCCAATATATTATAATAATTGAAAATTATAAATTTTCAACTAGGAATGCATTCGTGGAACGCTTTTGGAAAATACTACCACAGTATAGTAAGGTATTCAACTTTTATCCCCTCGGTTCGACCTCTGAATTTGATTCTTGTGGTATTTATACTGTATGCCGTTACCTAAAGTGTGGTATAAATACGCTACCCACAACTATCAACTAGGTATATACAGATATAATTATTAATACATATGGATCGACAGGTAAAACTAGTGCGTTGGAACTTGAGGGGTAAAACCAAATTCGATGACGATGCTCGACGAGTAGTTTATTAGTCATTTGAGGAATTTTGGGACTGGCTCTCGGTCATTATTCGACTGCAGGCGGTGAGCAATATAGGTATACAATAACGGCGTGGGATGCGAATAATACATTGTATATTATAATATAGGTGCTCATCGACGTAATGAATATACAATCTATATTATTATTATATTTTATTGTGCGTCTCGAATCGGACGAAACTGACAATAGACACATTTGCGCTGGCGGAAACGGGTCGTGGATGGATCGCTGCATGACAAGATTCACGAAAGGTTCGCGGCGACGGAACGTTGCGCAACGGCGCCAAGACGATTCCGTGTCGTGCTCTGGGTGGAGGAGGGTGGGGGGGGGTGCGGCCGCTGCTACGACTAAAAGGGGAGACAGCAGTTATGGTGCGACGACGAGGCACACGAGTGTCGGAGGTTAGTCGGGTCGGGATTTCAGCCCGAGGTAATCACGCGGCGGCTTCGGCTCCGGCGAGGATGAGCTCGCGGTTTTGTTCATATTATTTAATGATATAGTCAATTATATAACGACCGGGCCCTCGCGGTCATGTGCAAATAATGCGTGTGCTTGTGCCTTACGCGATTCAAATTCAAAAAAGGCGTCCGTGCTCGCCCGATTATCAACGTCGTCGTTCCCCGAGTAGAAGAAAGCTCGTCTGTATGATCCGAAGAGTTGTGTGGTTGTCCGAATGTCTGTGCCGTTTGGGCGGACGATAAATTCGACAGCACGGACGTCGACCGGCGTGAAATATGAGTATTTTATCGAAACAATAAATTGTGTTTTTTTAAGATTCCATACCTATATGGCCATATGCTATATAATATTTTTGGGGGGACGCACACAAGGAACTCAGAATGTTTCCGAGGGCTGTCAAGATTCAATGATCGTTGTTTAACCAATAAAGGCGAAAGGCAAAAACGAAAAATAATATGAAAACCTCATTTGATTCACCGAAAATTATAGTAATTGAAAGAATAAATAATAATAATATGTTGTCTGCTGTACGGACAAGATTTGTCTAGGGCCCGGCATTTTGTGACCCCTGTCTAGCTAATTTTCATTCATACACTCACACCTCCCTAGTCGACACGGCCGCCATGAACTATATAATTATGTGATTAAACACATGGTTTTTAAGAGATCGTATATCTAGAAGTACCTGTTGTTATTATATCTGCTATTTTCGATTCTTTGGATTTTGCAGCCTGCACATTTCGGAGGATACCGTTGTCATACCGATATACCAGTCTTATAATCGTAGTTATAAAATCCCTCAGGAAAAATAATACGCGTATAGTTGCCAAATAAGTAATTTCAGACGAAGTGTATTTTTACCCTAATTACGGATATATTACGGTACTAATTAAACGATTCTTTGGCCGATAAATGCTACTCGTATTACATATACGAATATTATATTATAACATTATACGGTTGAATAAAATCGTCTAAAATTGTGTTCGAAAACTACGTCCATAGAATGTAAATGGCCGAGACTACGTCGGAATCGTTGCTGATAACACTATTAATACCTATAACTACCAGCCGAACGTGTCTGAATGAAAAATGTAAATTTTGCCAGTGAGGAATTCTACTCGATTAGGTACCTATCATGATCGTCGTTCGATCCGACTTCCTAATGATATTATAATGCCATATTTAGTTTATCATAATATTATACACGGAGAGAGTTCACACCAAGCGCGGTGGTTTATACATTTCAAGAGGGAATAACGCAATATAATTTATTAACGCCGACAATTATATTATTATTATTGGTACAAAAGTTATGGGAAAATTTAATAATAATATATACGTTTATATATATATATATGGGCGCAATACGATTGCGCGCGGTCCTTATCAGCGGTACCTTTTTAAGCGTACTATTGCGCGCGCTATATTATTTTAACTTTTAAGCAACGTTGCCAAATATATAGGTCCATGGTAAATCCGTAGGATACCATAGTAGATTATAGTAGATTATTTATTACTTATTTTTGCCGATATCAGACAAACTTCCCATCACTAAGAATGAATTGGTTATATTATGTATCAAAAATATTATCTTTATTGTATATGTCCATACATGTACGAATATACCTATACTATAATCGTGCATGATGTGACTATATCAATTAACTATCAGTTGTGTTCGGTTCTAATAATAGTTTTAAAAAAAAATGTGTCAACTATAATATTATATTATTTATTTTTAGGACTACAAACGGGGCTGAAAGTTTCCATAGTACATATAATGCACAGTTTAATAGTGCTCATCCACCAATATTTGTCGTTATAGCTACCCTTATGAAACCTCAGGCAGAAACAGTTACCAAATTATTAACCATTTCCAAAGGTATAATAAAACCAAAATCGAATGAAGAATCAAGGAAAATTGAAAATTTGAAAAATGAACACAAACATTATGTAAACAATAAAACACCAGAAAATTTACTAAAGTATTTGGCCATAGTTGGAAATAGGTATCGGGGGTTTAAAATTTAATATAAATATTGATTTACGAGTATTATATTTTTTCAATTATTAAATTTCTTTATTTTGTATTATTTTTTTTTTAACTTTTTTTATTTTTTATTATTTACGTTAATTTTTTTATTTTTTTTTAGATAACATTTTTTTTATATTATTAACTTTTTGTATTTTTATTATTTACGTAATACATTTGGCAACGTCGCACCCAATTTCACGCGCAATCGTACGCCTTTGAGTAATTAAAATGTTGTCTTTTGTTATTCGGGCACTGCGCGCAATCGTATACCTAAAAAGGTAAAACGCGCGCAATCGTACTCCGCCGATATATATAATAGGTGTACACGATTTAATCCTTACGTTCGTATACTGCAGCAGTCAGAAAAGTCAAACGTTTCATCTCCGTTGCGTGATGTAGACGATAGTAAGACATAATGTCAGATTTAAAAATTATAACTGATTTTAAGAGTTAAAGGTTAAGGTTTTTGTCTGATAATACTGTGATCGGAATGTCTTGCAGCAGTCGTGTTTTGTTTTGGGCAAATGGCCAGTGATGCCTTTTAATGATTATCTCGAAGGACCTCGTCCTTGGGCGATATCGATTATCCGATTGAAATATTGTCCTTGCGAATTTAAAGAATCACGTTTGGCTAATAAATTATAATACATTATATTCCAAGCCTGGAAGCTTTTAAAGCTTCAACGATAAAATACCGATCGAGTGAAATTTCGTTACACCTACGTTCAATTTCTCTGAAAAACCCCTCTGTAATCAGTGTTTTCGCCTTGGACAGATTGATCATATTGTTCTCGTATTTTTTTAACTCCATGTAAGGGCTTATTTAGCTGTTCGATAAAAAAAAAATATGTTTATTTTTATAACAAATAAACATTTTAATATTCCACTTACAATCCTTATTATTCGTCAGTAACAGCGTAAATCATTTGATTTACTGACATAATATTATAGTGATACAGTTATACCTCTACAGATGTAATTGTTCTATGCTGTTTAACAATTTCAATGCCTATTGAAAGTGCAACACATGTGGGATTTTTAATTTTTGTCTAGGTATATACCTATACCGACAAACAATGATAGAATATCAATAAATATAAAAGCGTGATTTATCGTTGTTACAATATTATTCGTACTTAATTTATCCTAGAGATTGGCTTTTATTTGTAATAGTTGGTACTTAAGGAGTGCAGAGATTAAAGAAATAATCTTTTTTTCAAACTTTTATTTTGAATTAATATTGTTATTGTTTATTTTGTTTTGTTTTTTTAAACAGACAATTTCAAAAGTTAAAGAGTTTAAAGAGCAGCTAAAGATTAATTTTATAATTTATATATTATTTATTACATTAATGTTGAGGTTTTATTTTAAAGTCAATAGAATTTCCTCGACAAATGCATTTTTCTACGAATGATTTATTACAACTTACAAGCCATGTGTGTAATTCATCTTCTTTTTGTTCGGAAAAAGAAATTGTTTACTTAAACAATGTCATATCGTATTTTATTATGACGTATTTAATCACGCTGAGCTCTTATGAATGCAAATGTTGGCCATACAGACTACAAGAAAGAAAATTACGACAAACCATAATGGATCATATTTTATATTGTCTGCGACTCCCACGAAACACCGGAGTGCATCACCTAATCGCGATTTATAATGTTTCAGAAGTCCAATTTCAATCCTAATGTCCTATTATACGCTTCCTACGCAATATTAAGTAATTGCGTATATAATTATGTTTCATAGTTTTTGCTGGAGAACAGATACTCGCACGCGGATCCTTTTGAAATGTTATAGTATAACGATGCACATCAACCAAATGCGGCAAATGCGGCGCAATTATTATTACTTAACGTTTATATTAACCGCGTTCTATATATTATGTTGAGCCGTTATTAAAATGTTGCATTGTGTTTACAAAACTACGTATTAACCTGCCATCCGACCTATTGTAATAACAGTGCAATAAAACGAATTTTGTTTTAAAATTTCTTCGCGATGAGATGCGTGGTCGTGCGCATCATTATTACGATGATAACAATAATAATATGGGTCGTCCTCGTGGAAATGATATTATTATTATGCGGTACAGTTGAAACGGAATATAAAATATACAACGTGCAACGGCACATGGGTGCACGCGAACCGATCGAGAATTGATAGATGAGCAGATGAAGCATAATGTGAACAATCTGAATGTGAAAGTTTTAATAATCGAAAACCGCGCGCGTTCGAGAATACACACACATATATAGGTAATATATTATTATACTGTAAACGTAGGTATATTATACACGTTTGCGTGTGAACGACATCGCAAAAATCGTTTAATCGGATCGATAAATACTTTGAGAGTGCATGTGAACAGTTAAAAAAAAATAGTAGTTTTCAGAGGACGACGCCGCCGCCGCCGCCGCCGCCGCCGCGTTGTACACATCGCAAGCATATGATATTTTGTGTTCTCCATCCACCGAATACGTAATCCGACAAATTTACAGCCGAAACGGGATTGATACGTCGAAATAATATTACAGAACACGCGCGATACGACCTATTACGAAACGCATCTGTTATGGACAATATTATAATTTTGTGATCGGCGTGGTCTCCACCACCAGTGACCGAGTCTCATACGGTATCTTATCGTTATGTTATTTTCAAATCATATAATATAGTATGTTTCAAAATGTGATTAAAATTAAAACGCGCTCGATTACTCCACTCGGAGAGACCGATGCAGTCGTTTCGTCTCTGCAGCATCCGCCACTCGTACCTATATAATATATTATTAATTATGTAGGTATGCCTACTTGAGATGAAGCGTATTTTCTACCAAGTATAATTTCGTCGACGGAGAGAACCGACGATCGGTCACCCCGTCGCTTATATTATAGGCACAGCAGCGATAATCAAAACGTTAATATTCGGTTGTAGCGGTAACACATAACATACCCGTATCGGCTGTAAATCGTAAGATTGAACATGAATACATAATAGACAGTGAAACTTCCATGTTTTGACAAAATTTCCTGTTCAACGAAAATTTTTTCAGAACCAAATTTGTTCAATTCTGTTTGACGAAATTCTCTTTAATACGAATTTCTGAAGTTTATGCCTCCCCACCGCGAGACTTTGTGATAATATTATAATATGGAAGTTTCACTGTACGTCTGTACCTATACACCATACATGTAATAATAACGTGCACTGACCTGCATAAATGACCGACGTGGCCGCGATGACAGCGACGACGACGAGTACGCGAAACATAACGCGATCGTAATAATATTATAATACTGCGATGTGCGTCGGACGCATTCGGAAGAATCGGTTCGAGCGACAAAAACGCACTGCAGCGACCGCGCGTGCTCGTTGCGACGATGGTCTTCTCGGCCGGCTTTGCTGCGGCGGCGGCGGCGGCGATGGCGGTGGGACGACGAGGAAGGACCGCCGCCGCGTACGATAATATAATACGCACACGACTATAACATAATACACTATTATAATGTGCTGCCCGCCATAACATAATCAAAAGTTGCATAATGCTCGCGAGATGATCCGAACAACATTCTTCCATCTCGCCCGAGTACCAATACACAATAATATTATAACGATATCGAAGGTATACACTAGGTATGTATACAGAGTGATTCACCTTGCACGCTCACCCCCGTTTTTTTTTCACTTTATCATCTGATACTTTTATTTGAATTATATTTCAAGTTTTTATAGGATATTATTACAGGTATACTCGAAGACTCGTATTGTCAAATACTTAGATTTTATCCTACCGTTATAAAGAGTTTCCTCTCACTCGTACAAATTTGAATTTTTTTCATTGGATCCGTTGGAAAATGCCATTTAGTCACCACCATGGAGCTTTCTTAGTGTGTTCTCATAAAAAATGCAACAAGAACAGAAAATGCATCAATTAACGATGTCACTCAAACTTTTTGGACCGAAGCTTTTTGTGCTGCGAACGAGATACGGACATCCTATGCTCGATGTAATTTTCAAAACTTAAAATTACACTTATTTCCCAACCAAATAACATAAATAAAATGTTTTTAAGTCTAAAATATCCTGAGTTATGTTTCTACCGTTACCCATTTGGTGTTTAAAAATATTAACAGTCAAACATTGAATAAATTCATTATTAAAGGATACTATGTATCGGTGAGCACTGAGTATGCTTGTTAAATCACCCTATATATAATATATTCTTATTAAATGGGTAATATCGCTGGTATATAACGTAATACTATCGTATGTAGTAATATGTAGGTATTTTAGATAATATTATTATGCATTCATATTACCTGCATCCTATATTATATTTATGGCGTGTAGTCGGTGAAGATCGTGGAGCTGCAGCAACATCGCGTGCATAATATTATTATTATTATCATATCGTCGATTAAATGCACTAAAATTATCACACAAAATTTAAATATTCGTAGGTATGCTTTGAACTATGTAATTACGTGTAATCATTAGCTGGGTATTTATCGTGTAAAAAATATTTTTTCACCTAAACCATATGGATATTCTTTATTAGCCTAACAATAATTATGTTGAAATTAACACTAGATAAATTGACATACATTTTTTTTACAATGATAATTCATTATAATGTGGGATAGATAAAATCTTTAATAATATCTTATTTGTAATTTTGTCAACTCTATATACTAGAGATTGTTTATCTATACAAATATTCCTTTCGTCATTCGAATATGTCGTAATGGCGCTAATATAATATGAAAAATGCACTTAAAATTAAAAAAAAACCAAAGTAAAAGTTTAATTTTTCTTTGATGTAAGGATGTGCTTGAAAAGCATTATAATATTATGTTCTAGAGCACTCGGAGGTTTGATTTTAAATGCACGTCCTAAAGTTATTATACCTATATATATAATAGGTATCAGTCGATGACGGTGATTTTGTTTTTTTGTCAGTTTATTATATGGTTATATTAAAAATATCTAATATTATGTTAATTTAAATTGTATTTTTATTCGTCTCTGCCCCCTCTCCTGTTGGCAACAGGGCGACCACGACACCCGTCGTCGCCCTCGAGGCAAGGTCGACGACAACATGTTGGCAGACGCGCCGCCGCCGCCGCGACAGAGTTTTTGTAATATTTATGTATACAGGTACAAGTGCTTAATACGATATAATTTTTACTATGCCGGTTACATCGATGTAGGTAGTTTAGTTGTGACGACTTGTGAGTAGCGTGTATTCGTCTATGGTCGAATAAGACGCGTAATTTAAAATGAATAAGTATATATATATACCTACTGCAATATAATATTATGTATATTTTTTATCCGCAATGTGCGTTATCGGATGAATATATCATTCTTATATTTTAACCTGTTGCCGCCGCACATCGGAAGTTTCGACACGAGGTCGCCGAGCACCGCTCATCGTCGACCGATTTTTTCCTCCTGGCACAAGACGCGTGTGGCGTGTGCGTTTAATTATTATTTAAACCGACGACGGTCACGTCGCTTGTAAACGATGCACATCCGTCGCCAGCGCATTTATCTGCGATCGATGGTCGATCGATAAACGCATGTCGATATTGTATGCAATTGTTTTGATTCATTTACTGTTTTCTAGGTTATTTCATAGAAACTATCGTCTATCGTTATTCGTCGTTGCTAAACACCCGACATTACTATATACAGAAATAATCTAATTAAAGATCCAAGTTTCTCATTACATCGATAAATGTTGATCAACTATAAATACATAATAATGTATCATTTAATATATTAAAAAAATTTAAATAATAGTGGACTTAAAAAATTAATGCAATTGTACAATGTGCAAAATGCAAATTCGCTACCTGTTGTGTAATCGATGATTTTTAGTGGGTTTTTTTTAATAAGATGTTTACAATTTTTCCATTTCACAACGGTTTTCTTCGATAGGTATTTTATATTGGCTACATATAGCAATATTCACATTTTATATTATTATTATTTATTTGTGTACATTTATTAGGTGTATAAATGTTGTATGTACTGAGTACTCGTATTATATATCTTAATAGGCTCAATAGGTAATGTAGTAATTTCTATTTTATAATATTTAACTTTTAAATAATATATTTCATAATATTATAACTTTTAATTTATACATTTCTATTTTGATTTTTAATTACTATTATTGTATTAACCTAAAGTATTCCTCTATTAAAAAAAATTGTACGCTAACTTTTCATCTATACGAAGGTTATACGTTTATTATACTAATTAGTATCGAAATCAAGATGTTGGTATCATCCATCGTTATTATAATATAGTAGAAATAATCTTTCAGTGCCATTACTATATTGTTAATCCTACACTCATAATGGCTATTAATTATAATGTATAATACAGCACATTATAAAATCTAGTTAATCTCGTTTTGAGGAACAAGGAAAAAATACGTTTGGTTATACTTATAACTTATAAGTATTCTGCATTATTACCTATACATTAATATTATTGTCGTTATTTGTTGTTCAAATTCGTCTATCGGATCGTTAATTTTTGCTATCTCTGTATTTTATTTAAATCAATTATTATTATAGACGTACGAGTTGACACTATATTATGTTGTTTTAAAAACTCTCCTAAATGTAAAATATATAATTAATTATGTGGACCTCGAAGTGTTAAACACTGCATGAAGTACAAATACGACTTCCTATACATTATTATAGATTGCATCGTCTTTGTCTGCGCTTCAGGCATTTCACATAGGTATAGCTATTAATAATACAATTGGTTTCTGTACTTTTATACAACGCATGAATATACTTATAAAAATGTCTAAACGCTACATAAATATAACATTATGCATTTGCAGAATTTGTTCAATACTTGAGTTTTGAAGTGCCAGCTACAATTTGTATCAAGCATTAACGATTGAGGAGCTGCAGAAAGTGCAGTGTACATGTTCACGGTTTGCTATATAAAGTTAAATTATTAAAAAAAAACCCCTCGAGAGGTTATTTTATACAACGTTTCTCTCTTTATGTTTTTAATGGATCTATTCTATTGCAGTACAACGCATGTTAACCTCGCGTTTTCAGAAGTATACAGAACCCCATGTTTGTGTGCTACGTAAACTGTGCGAAATGGACAGAGACAATAAATTCTATCTTGACAGCCTCTTATGGCATACACATTTTATAAACGAAAACTCAACCAATCGATACCAACAACCTACGAGAGACCGCCAACCAGACTGATCCGGTCATTGTGTGATTCTATAAGAGATGATCATAGTATCATGTGAAACCGGTATAATATAATATGTCTATCCGTATAATTCTGCTTTGTAGTAAAATTTATTATTCTGGTTTTTTTTTTTTATATAATATATTATGAATTATTTAAATTTTTCGAAATAATTTTCTTTGGTATAAAACAAAATTAAACAGTTATTATAAAATAATTTTCTAACCAAATAAAAATCGAAGGGATTTTGACTGTAAATAAATTCACAAGTTAAATTCTACACTTTATATTTTATACATAGGTACTTCTGTGATCAACGTGTTATGTAGGTACTTATGTATTGTTTTTTATAAAATAAAATAGTGAAACAGATCAAGGTAAACACGTAATAAATAAATATCATTCTACTTAGGTACAGCGAGTATCGTAAAAATATGTATCTATATAGAATATATACATTTTAATCAATGTAATAGATACCTATAACTCTTAAAGTTATTGACACTTCTTCCGCCTCATTTCTTTGAAAATTATTCATCTTCTGTACCAACATTAATTAATTAATCTTTTTTTTTTTAAAAATCTAGACTTATTTCCGTCATGATCCGATGTTGACGATGTCTCGTTTTAATAACAACTCAAGTCTAAAAGTTTTATAATAATTCATTTAACTAATTTTCAAAATATTTTATTGGAAGTAAATCATGTCTCATTTTACGTATCCAATATAACACTCTGATAACTTTTGCACCACCGTGTGAAATATTTGTAAATTTAAAACAAAATTAATCCGCTTGGATATATATTTAAAAATTTTGGCATTTTTAATAATATATTTAAAGCCACAACAATTGCATTTATAATATTAGGTATACAGAAAAAAAAAACAGTAGCCATGGTCATAAAAATAAATGAAAATGTAAATGTTTGTACCTAATACTACTTTCTAAGAATTTACTCGGTTTGAACTAACCTTCAAGGATGCCCCAATACTTGTTTTTATTTTTTTTTTGGTTAGCTAAATAATT